ATAAACAGTTCCTGCTTTACGAATATAAACTCAATTTTTAACTATTAAAACTGATGATAATGATCTTCATGAAGACTTAAAATATTGGATGAAGTAAAAAGTTCTGAGCGTTTTGTCCCATGCATTGAGCTTCTTCTTGAGCCTTGAGACCAAACGGTTTTTTGGCTAATCTTCAGTTCCTGGGCAATGGAATAAGTGCTCACATGTCTCATCTTCGACGTCCATATTACCAGAATGGAAGCGTTGGAACCAACACTTTACCATTGGGTCCATAATTTCCACTTGGTCATAGTGGTATTGAAGAATGTATCAAATTTTCTCTTTTTTTACCTCCACTTTGGAACGGTCTAACACACATCTGGATAAACTAATCACAAAACTGTCAAAGAACTTTTTTTAAATCGTTATGTCACCTTTAAGTCTGAGTATAGAATGACAAGATGCAACGTATACATCGTAAGATATGGCCATCAATCGAAAAACGCTCAAAACTTTTTACTTCATCGTATATTTGAGATGTATAAGACAAAGATTAAGAAAATCGTTATCTCTCTGTTAAAAGCTTTGATGGAGTGTTTCAATACATCGAAAAAGGCAATTGAAGTTGTCGAGTGGAAGAGCTCTAACTTTGAGAACGAAAATAGAAATTTACGTCCGCAATAATGAAAAGAAAAAACTCCCTCGAGGAAAAGTTGTTTTTTTTTTCCTACAGAAATGTACAGCTTTCAAGAACTGCTAGACCATTGAGAGTAGAACAATCAATAAGTGCAGTATATTTAGTTATTAAGAAAAAATAAAGTTTGAAACTTACATATTTTTTGTCGTATTTTCATCATAATTTATGAAATTGAAAGTATTTTGTTTATAAAAGAAATTGTCTTTCTGCAAAATTGTATAAAAAAAAACTTATTTTACAAATAATGCTTAAATTGAATTCCAATTTTTATGTTTTAACATGTTTTTGATTATCGATTTCATTACTATTAAATTATTTGTAAATTGAACTAATATAAATGAAATATTTTTGCTAAGCTATTTTTTTTTATCTGTAACATAAAAAAGAAAACGTAACAACTTTTATTGCCAATTGAGAACGTGCTAATCTCCTTGAATTAGCTTCACGCAGATTAACTCGATATCTCCTCCGTTAAGTACAAGTATAGATTGAAACTAGTGTAGTAGACTTTTGATGTATGCAAGTAATAATTTTTTACTATAAAAGTGTAATTATTTTTTCTAAAATCTTAAATAAATTCATTATTTTTTTCAATTGTATGTAAGATTTGTAGAAAATCATGTGTATTTTACTAGAATACTATACTTTTTATCATTAGTTGTCGAAAACCGCTGATTACCAATTATTTTATTAAATTTATTGCTTAACTATAAAATGTGAAATATTAATACTAATACAAATTTTAAAGTTATTGCTTAACTACTAACTTTAAAATTCTAATAACTATATTAACTACATCATAATATAAATTTAAAAGTATTTATTTAATTTATTTTCGTATATATTTTGAAGTTTATTTTTATATTTCAATGATAGACAAATCCTTTTCCATTCATAAAAAGTAGCAATAAAGATTAAATTCTGTTTATTTTAGTCTATGATCAAATTTATTGTGTTTATTTTCATTACAAATGTTTGGGACGCGTCAAAACAAAACGGTTGTAAAATAATAAAATTCCAAATTAGAAATAAATCAATAATTGAACTTTGATCAAATATTTCTAAATTTCATCACATTTTTTTTTAACAAATTTCAAAAAGACACATTAATTGAAAATTATATAAAAACACGACTTTTTCTGTATTTTTTTAACAAAAATTTTGTTTTGAAAATATTTGATAAATTTGGTAATTTCTTTAATACTAAAGAAAATTTCAAAGCCACATTAAATGAAAATTAACCAACGTAAAACAGGATTTTCTCTGTTTATTACACAATAGAAAATAATCTTTTTATCCGATTTTTTTTAATAATTGAAAAATTAATCAAAAATTAATTAATTTTCTTTTTCCTCTAATTTCTTCCAATTTTAGACAAATTACAAAAAAAAATACAAATTTATGTACAAATTATCCTTTGTACAACACGACTTTTCCTGTATATTACAAACAAAAATATCATTTTTTTAACAAAATTTATTTTTGGAAAATTCTTGAAAAAAAAATCAAATTTCTTCAATACTAAGGAATATTTGAAACCTACATTAAATGAAAATTAACCAACGTAAAATTGGACTTTCTCTGTTTGTTACACGATGGAATATAATCATTTTATCCGATTTTTTTTAATAATTTTAATTATTGAAGTATTAGTCAAAAATTCAATTATTGTTCTTTATCTTAAAAATTTCTTCAATTTTTAGACAAATTAAAAAAAATACATTAATTAGCAGTTAACTTTCAGCATATGGAATATTTCTGTATGAATTACAGCAATTAAAATCACATTTAAAACTAAATTTTCCAAATTTCATAATTTGGTTTAACAGTTTATTTCTTATCGAAGTTCTGTAATAATACAAAAATATATTTCTAAAACGAATTACATCAACAGAAATCAGTTTTTTAACCAAATGAATTATTTGAAAATAATTACAAAATAATTTAATTTTTTTTTCAAATTTCTTTAATTTTAGGACAATTTTCGAAAAGCACATTATTTGAAAATTAATTATTAAAACTAGACTTTTTCTGTATATTTCATCAAGTAAAATTGTATTGAATTAATTATTTTGTTTCAATAAGTAAAATATTAATTTTTTTTTTAATTATCTTTCAATTTTTCTTCAATTATTGTCGAAATTACTAAATAAACATGAATTTAATACACTAAAAACCAATAATATCGCAATTGTAAACAAATTTGAATAGAATTGTTTGAAAAGAAATTAAGTTTTCTTCAATTCGCCCAATTATTAAACTTTTCTACAAGTTTCCATTTGAAAGCCATTCGATATACAAATATAATGTGTATTTACGATAGAGAGCTAAAAAAAAGTTCGCGTGTTCGACTCGTTAATAACAGCCCATAATCCCCCCAACTGCTCCGTTCCGAAAACTGTAATTTACTGAGCACACACGAAAAAAATATACAAAACTACGCAGACACAAACTACATCTAAATCCAGTTAAACGGTCAAATTGGTTCCATTTCGGAATGCATTTAACCAGAAGACGAATGGAGGAAATGCAAGAAACGAACCGAAGTTCGCATTGTCTGGCGAACGAAAAGTTTTCCACATCCTTCAACAAGTCAATTTACGTTGAGTATTAATACAATCCGCATTCATTATCTTTTTGCATCACTCTAAACAACTATACAAAATGTATTTATAAAATTTAAGTGCGAACGCTTTTGTTCAGTTTTCTTTGCAAATCTTTGCGGTTTTAGTTGGAAGAGTCAAATTATTTGGGCAAATTATTTGCACCGCAAACCATACAAAAATACCAGCAACAAACGCATTTTCATTAATTATAATAAAAAACATTATAAATATTGTTGTTACAATTAATTAAAATTACTATTGTTAAAAGTGGAATATTTACATTTAACAAACACACGTTTCCTGCTCTCAAAAAAATCGAGAGATGAAAAAAAAACAACACAACACAGACCAGTATTTCACCTTGATTTAACTTCAAATATTTAAGTGCTCAAAAATGTATATATATGTGATTCTTAATGACTCAGAGAAGTAATGAATTTTAGGCAAATTTTGTTTAAGAAAAAACGTAATTTTTTTTTAATACAACTGTGAAATTTTAAGTTCAAATATTTAACCATAATATGATTGGTTTTTAATAACTCTACGAAATAATGAAATTAAAGCAAATTTTGTTTAAGAAAAAACGCAAAAATTTCTAATAAATTGTAAAATTTTATCTTTGAACATTTAAATGTTTAACCATAATATGATTCGTTCTTGATAACTCTAAGAAATAATGAATTTAAAGCAAATTTTGTTAAGAAAAAAACTCATTTTTGGAAATATTAACAATTTGTGATGAATGAAATATTACTAAATTCGAAATATGAGTTTTTTTTCTTTAATAACTCTAACAAATAATGAATTTGAAGCAAATTTTGTTAAAAAAGAGAACTCACCGAAGTAATGAATTTAAGGCAAACTTTGTTTTAAAAAAAACGTAAACATTTCTAATACAATTGTGAAATTTTAACTTCAAATATTTAAATTTATAACCATAATATGATTGGTTTTTGATAACTCTAAGAAATAATGAATTTAAAGCAAATTTTGTTAAGAAAAAAAACATATTTTTGGAAATATTTCCAATTTGTGATGAATGAAATATTAATAAATCCGAAATATGAGTTTTTTTTCTTTAATAACTCTGAGAAATAATTAATTTAAAGCCAATTTTGTTAAAAAAGAGAACACAGAGAAGTTATGAATTTAACGCAAACTTTGTTTAAAAAAAACGTAAAAATGTCTAATACAATTGTGAAATTTTAACTTCAAATATTTAAATGTATAACCACAATATGATTGGTTTTTGACAACTCTAAGAAATAATGAATTTAAAGCAAATTTTGTTTAGAAAAAAACTTATTTTTGGAAATATTTCCAATTTGTGATGAATGAAATATTGATATTTGACTATACAAATCCAAAATATGAGTTTTTTTCTTTAATAATTCTATATATAATAAATTTAAAGCCAATTTTGTTTTAAAAATAAAACGCAAAAAAAAAAATCTAATGGTTACTACTTTTACTACTTCGAAATTTTAATAACTGCTGAACTTACGAAAAGAAAAAAAATGGATTTATGTGTTCGGTTGTGCAACGAGTTTTAATAAATATTGAGTGAGATAAAACCGCAGAACAATTGTAATGGCTATAGTAATAAAAAAAAGCCAAAACAAATTGAAAAAACACTAAAAAAATGCACGATTCCAATTGATTTTCTAATCGAATGGGTTTTGAAAGCGTTCAAAAATATATATAAAAAAAACTCTTACCGTCGAAAACTGCTTGTCGATCTTCTTAAGATCAACATCATCCTTAGTCTCCTGGAACGCAGGGTTGTCCAACCCGAAATCATTGCTCTATATAAACAAAAAAAAAAGTTAAAACCAATTAATAACTTAACGAATTTGTTTAAAACTTTTGTATTATATTTTATTATTACTGTGTGTGTGTGTATCGCATGAATAATTAGAAAGACTGGTTTACCTTTTTGGTAGCCATGTAGTCTGCGAGGTTCGCGCGTTCGTGTTTCAATTGAAACTGGAAACGCTTTTCGAAATTACCTGCCGACAAGGTGATTATTAGATTTACTATCTTTTGCCTCGCAAAAATCGTATTGTTATTGTTGTGCCCACTCTTCTGTTTTCTCTCTCCCCCCACTCCGCTCGTGCGCAACTCCTCACATCCATATATAATTTATTCGCTTAACAAATTACTTCTTCATTTATTATTATTATTATTATTTTTTTAATGTATTTTCAATAAGCGGTAACATTAATTTCTTTTGTATTCTAAAAGCGTTATTGGAAATGCAAATAATGCAATTATTTTCCTTCAATATTCATAATTATTATGTAACGCTAAAACGTGTTACCTTCGCTTATATTTGTTTGTTGTTTTTTTTTTTTTTTTTCGTTAAAAATAAATGAAATAAAGGTCTATAAACAATGTTCTTATCGCGAGGAATTCTGTCTGTACATTTGCTTTATTGCTCCAATTAATTAATTGTTACATATGTGTGCATCATAATGTTATATTTAAACCATAATTCATCTTTTTTTTTTGGTATTGTTACGTTGACATTTTATTTATTTTTTATTCAAACAAGAAGCAAAATCTCCACCTAGTTAATTATCTTTGTGTTTTTATTTCATTACAAAGTTTTGTATATCAAATTCTTCAATTTGCATTTTTTTCTCTGAAAGTCTTTAACACGTGATTTTGATTTGATTTTAAAATTTTACAATTATACAAATTGTTAGTATTTATTTAATTAACATGTCTTTTAATTGATTCTTTTAATTATTCAATTCAACTGTATTTATTTTCGAAATTTCTAAAAGCAAACAATAATTGTTACTTTTGCAAATTTTCATTTTTCAATAGATTTTTCGTAGATTTTCATTCAACAAATAATCTTACTTCACTAATTTTGCTTGATTTACAACTTTCCTACCTCATTTATTAATTATTTATACATATTAACAGAATTCACTGACTTTTTGAGTTTTTTTTTAAATAAAACAAATCTATTCTAATTATATTTTTCTTTTGTTTAATTTATGTACTTCCATTGTTTTCATCTACTATAGACAAACGTTTCTCAACTTTGCTCATCTTAAATTTGACAGCTGTCACCATGTGTCAAAAACTTAGCAGTAGAACTACAAACAAATACGTTGGGTCGCGCTGATAAAACTAAAAGCTTGAGAAACATTTCCACAGTAAGTCTTGTATTTTATTAATTACTTATTTAACAGAAATCGCTGATTTTTTGTAATTTTATTGACTTTTTTTTTAAACGAACAATTCTATTCCAATTATCTTTTGTTTAATGTCTTTACTTCTATTATTTTGCAAACGTTTCTCAATTTGGATCACATTAAATTTGACAGCTGTCATCTTGTGTCAAAAAAAAAATGTAAAAATATAATTATTGGTTTGTCTTTCATTAATTACTTATACTTATTTAACAGAAATCACTGATTTTTTGAGATTTTATTGACTATTTTTTTTTAAACGAACAATTCTATTCCAATTATCTTTTTTTTAATGTCTTTACTTTTATTATTTTGCAAACGTTTCTCTATTTGGATCACATTAAATTTGACAGCTGTCACCTTGTGTCAAAGAAAACCTGACAGTACAAAACTACAAACAAATATGTTGGTTGGCGCTGCTAAAAGGTAGAGAAACGTTCCTATATTAAGTCTTAAGTCTCACACAAAATATTCTAATCAAGAAAATCAATAATTAGAAATACAATTATACAAAATTCACTGATTTTTTGAGAACAATTCTAATCTAATTACCTTTTACTTTTTTTTAATTTCTTTAATTCTATTGTTTTTAGCTATTACAGACAAGCGTTTCTCAATTTGGGTTGAATTAAATTTGACAGCTGTCAAAAAAAAATTTAGCACATATGTTGAATTGCACTGCTATAAAGTTGAGAAACGCTGCTATAAACTACATGTAAGTCTTAACTCTCACACAAAATATTCTAATCAAGAAATTTGATGAATAAAACCTCAAAAATACAATTACAAATTGCGAAATATTAAAAAATTCCATTTAGAAACACAAATTATATTATTTTTTTTCCAATACAATTTCATTCTAAAATCTTCGTCCAATTATCAATTATTACTGTTACGGCTGACCAAATCCAACTTACATTCATCGTTTAAAAGAAGCCACAAAAAAAAAATAATAAATCTCATAGTGGATTACTTTCACAACAAATTTTTGTTCCGTTGTTTCCATTGAGTGAAAGTACAAAAAGTAAAATATGAAAAAAATAATGCATCTCAGTAAATAAATAGTATACGAGACTGCGATTACAAACGTCGTTTAATGACAAAGTCAACAATTAATATCATCGACCTTCGACGTTTTAATTATTATCGTATCATATTTTTTTTTTTGCTTACGCTTCATTCATATGAACTTATACGAATCCTTGCGTAATTCACAATGTATTTGTACAAAAAAAAATGTTATTCTGTTCATTAGTAAGAGACAATTTAGATTTTTTTGTTATATATAATTTGTTGATATAATGACAATGAGACAATGAGAATTTCTTTATTTTTCGAGAAATATGTCAATGTTTGTTGATGTATAAAAATATTAAAAAAAAAAATTGACGTGTGTTTATACTACTTCACGTGCTCCAGATAAAGAGCGTAGAATTGGATCAGCTTTGTTGTTGTCACTTGCTGGATTGAAGGATAGAAATCTTTCGGATTTAATATGTAGGTCAATCCGTACCCTGACATTTCAGCTTCATCCTATTATGATTTGGATTAAGTACGCATAATCCATTTTTCTATTCGCGTAACGAGCAAAATAAATTGGAAGAAAACGAGCGACGTTTTGCATAACGAGTAACGATGAGAAGGGAAGTCCCGGATTGTGCGCCTGCTAGATCATTTTTAGAACTTGTGTACACATATTATGTGTATTTTTGAATATTTTTCACTATACGAGTAAAAATTCGTTAAGCGAGGTTCCACTGTATTTGTTTGTACATAAAAGTAATCTTTGACAAAGAACATAATTTGCTGTTGAATGAACGAAAGAAAGAAAAAAATATGTCAAATATTTGCATAAACCATAATAATATTTTTATTCAATTCTTGTATTAAAACTTTGATGAATCTCACATTAATAAAACAAATTCCGTTGAATGTTTCAGTGTAATAAAAATACATCAAAGTAAGTTCCGACTGGAAAAACCAATTAAAAATAGAATATTTTCATTTATTTATAACAAAATTTGTTTCAAGCATGAATGAAAGTGATTTCTGTTGATATTTTTCCATTCACGTCATGCACCTAAAATATATATTCCCCGATCCGGACCGCACTTAAAAATGTTATTCCGATTTGCGGTTTTCCCTGTGGTTTCTTTTATTTCTTTAAATGAAAAGAAACAAAAAAGAACCTCGATCTTACCTGAAACCAAAAAGATCATCGTTTTCATCCATAAAAATGTGTTAAAATATTTGTATTTTGTCTTCAAATTCTTGTTTTTTTCTTCTGAAAATCAATAAAATTATTAAAATTCTTTCAATTTTGTCCTAATTGTCAACAGTATTATGTTGACAATTGTTGTTTTTTCTTTTTTGAAAGTGTATGGAATTATTGACGAAAATAATTATGTAAATGAAACATTCCAAAAAAATAATCGGATATTCCAGGTATTCAAATGAAAACAATGCGGTAATTATTTTTGTTTCTCATCGTGTCATCTCGTTGGAATGTTTACAATCCAATTAATGTTGTGTTACGTTTACTTTTCAATGGAAATACTTGATTATTTTACAGTTTATTTGTAAAAAACTATCATTTTATAAACGTTAGGCAATGTTTTTGGTAGATTTTTGGATTGATGATCGATGATCCAATAGATTGTTTCATTTTATTGAAATGTTAACAATTCATAATATTTTTTGTACTTTGTATATTTTTTCAATAAATATAATACTCCATTAAGAAAATGATGTCAAATTAAAAAACAAAAGTTAAGCTATGCGTTTGGAAGACAATAATTGGATTGATGACCTTTATCACAAATTATGTTGTGTATTACGTTTACTTTTCAATGAAAATACTCGTTTATTTTACAGTTTATTAAGAAAAAATATGTTAAATTATTAATAAAAGTTAAGCAATCTATTTAGAAGACATTACTTGAATTGATGAGCAATTAATTACTAATTAAGTTATACTCCAATAAACTGTTTCATCATCTTGTTGAAATGTTTACAATTCATATTATATGAATTATATAAGTTTTTAATTTTTATCAATACAAATTGTAGTTTATTAGGAAAACCATGTCTAATTGAATGACAATAGTTAAGTTATGTATTTGGAAGAGAATACTTGGATTGATGAGCTTCATCACAAATTATGTTTACAATCCAATTAATTTTGTATTACGTTTACTTTTCAATGAAAATACTCAAATATTTTACAGTGTATTAAGAGAAAATATGTTTAAATGAATAACGAAAGTTAATCAACCTATTTGGAAGAAATTACTTAGATTGATGAGCAATTTATTACTACTTAAATTACACTCCAAATGAAATGTTTACAATTCATATTATCTTATGTGCTAAGTTTTTTTTCTTTTTATCAATAAAAATTGCAGTTTATTGGAAAAACCATGACTAATTGAATTACAATAGTTAAGCTATGTATTTGGAAGGCAATACTTGGATTGATGAGCTTCATCACAAATTATGTTTACAATCCAATTAATTTTGTATTACTTTTACTTTTCAATGAAAATACTCAAATATTTTACAGTTTATTAAGAGAAAAATATGTTTAAATTATTAACAAAAGTTAAGCAATTTATTTAGAAGACATTACTTCGATTGATGAGCAATTAATTACTAATTAAATTGCACTCCAATAAACTATTTCATATTGTAGAAATGTTTACAATTCAAATAGTTTTTTGTACTAACTCTATTTGTTCTCAAAGAAAAAAATGTGTCAAATTAAATGACGAAAGTTAAGCAACGTCAATAAAAGCAAATTCTTGTATTGATGATCAATTAAATTTCATTCTAATAAATTGTTTCATCTCGTTGAAATGTTTATAATTCAAATAATTTTTTGTACTAACTCTATTTGTTTTCAATGAAAATACTAGTTTCTTAAGAAAAAAATGTCATATTAATTGACGAAAGTTAAGCAAAGTCAATAGAAGCAAATTCTTGGATTGATGATCAATTAAATTCCATTCTAATAAATTGTTTCATCTCGTTGAAATGTTTACAATTCAAATATTTTTTGTTATAACTGTATTTGTTTTCAATGAAAATACTAGTTTATTAAGAAAAAAATGTGTCATATTAACTGACGAAAGTTAAGCAAAGTCAATAGAATCAAATTCTTGGATTGATGATCAATTAAATTCCATTCTAATAAATTGTTTCATCTCGTTGAAATGTTTACAATTCAAGTATTTTTTTGTACTAAGTTGATTTCAATAAAAAAAATACTAGTTTTATTGATATTGATACAAATATTATTACTTAACTATGATTAAGTTAAGCAATATTTGCAGAAAACATTACTTGGATTGATGACCAATTCATTAGAAAGAATCAGCTTTAAAACGAAGAGGATTTTCTACAAAGAAAAGTAGCAAGTCTTAAAACAACAGAAATTCTTAAAATTAAAAATATTTACTTATAATAATAAGTTCTTGTTTTTTTTGGATAATCATAGTTTAACCTTAATAAGTTGACCTTCACCAATAAAAAAAATCTACATAATTCAACATTACCCATAAACATTAATTAACTAATTGAGCTAACTTTGTTACGCATTCCGATTTGATACATCAAATTTAAGTTCATCGTAATTATCCGAGTCGACGTGTGTAATTTCGTTACGTAAAGTCGCATTCGCATTAAAACCACAGCGCGCGCACATCCTTACATAATCCCTTTGTTTATTTTTTTTTCGTCTTTCAAGTTTGTTGTTGTTGTTTCGACGAACATACTTTTTTTTTAAATTCAGTTTAAACAAAGTTACGATTTTAAACCGACGGATTAATATCATTTCTTACGGTTAAAACTTAATTAAGGAACTTCTCTGCAACTTGCGCATGTACTTAATTCCTCTCACATAACTAACGAAATATTATTATGTAACTCGTTAGCCGCACTTCTCAAACAAACTTTTGAAATTTGAATAAAGTTTATATACATTAATATTTATAATAATATTTCTTTAAATAATAAGTTTTTTTTTATAGTTTTATAAAAGTTTTACTGGGAATAAGTGAATGGATTATGAAACATCACAGAGAGTGACATATGTAGTAAAAAAGTGTATGAGAGAACTCAGAGAAATACAAGAATTACCAAGGAAGTTCCGTCGGAGTTTCGCAGACATTGAATAGACTGGATTGACGTGAACATTAGTCATCGAAATGTGAGAAGTTGGCGGAGACAGATTGCAGTTTAAAGCACCGAAACTTTCACAATAAACGTTATATAATGAACGTCAAAGAACTAGTATTGATTATACTAATAAACTGTATAATAAGTACTTTTTTTTTTTAATTTTAATGCTATGCTATGTTTGTTTGCTGTTAATAGAAACATAACAAAGGTTCTGGCGAGAAGTGGAGAAAATAAAGAAGTTGAGTGGTTTTAACGAAATTGGGTGGGTCGATCAAGCTGAGATAACAAGGTAAGTCGTTGTAGGAAAAGGTTTGCGGTTTTAAAGTAATAAATTTCCGATGCAATTTACGTCCGCGAAGCAATTATGTGAAGTTTAAAGATACAGAGAACTTTTGGTTTGGAATTACTTTTTATTCTTGTTAAATATTTAATGAAACCATTGCTGCATCTGAAGAATTGCTTAACAATTTATATACGTTTGTATCAATTTTATAATTTAATAATGTAAAAACCATTTGGAATCATTGCATTATTAAATGTGAATGAATTTTTTTTTTTTTTACTAGAAATTCTAAAAAATTAATTAAATTGTGAAGAAGCATTGAATTTCATTTTACTATATATACAGAAATGAAATTAGTAATATTTAATTACAAAAATTATACACAAATTTGAAATAAATAAAAATCAAAATTTTCTAAACAAAATATTTTTTGAATAAATTTAGTTAACTGAAAGATAATAATATAATTGGTAATGTAATACAATTATTAATTATTTAATTATCGAAATTATGCCTAAATTATGTAAACAAAGAATTACAAGATAAAAATTAAAATTTTCAATTTTTAAAGGAGATATTATCAAAAAACGAATTAATTTATTATAAAACGTTGAAATTAACGTGAAACTTAAATTAGTAATGTAATTTATTATAATTATAAACTGTTTAATTACAAAAAGTTTGCACAAATTATGTGAAATTTCAAAAAAAAATTCAATTTTTTCTAAAATTTTAAAGCAGAAACTATATGAAATTATGTACAAACATAGAATTTTTTAATGAAAAAAACGTTGAAATTTAATTAATTGAAAGATATAAAGAAAATTAGTAATGTTGTTTAATTATAAACTATTGAATAAGAAAAAATATGAACAAATTGTTTCAAGAAGTTAAAATTCCAATGTTCAATAGAATCAGAAATTACATGGAATTATATACAAAATAGAAATTATTAATGAAAAACGCCGAAATTTAGTTAATTGGAAGATATAAAGAAAATTTTTAGTGTAATTTAATTAGAAACTATTGAATAAGAAACTTATATGAACAAAATGTTTCACGAAGATAAAATTCCAATTTTCAATAGAACCAGAAAATATATGAAATTATATACAAAAATAGAAATTATTAATGAAAAAAACGACGAAATTTAGTTAATTGGAAGATATAAAGAACATTTGTAATGTAATTTAATTATAAACTATTGAATAAGAAAAAAATATGAACAAATTGTTTCAAAAACAATACAAGATAAAATTCCAATTTTCAACAAAACCAGAAAATATATGGAATTATATACAAAAATTGAATTTATTAATAAACGTTGAAATTTAGTGAATTTAAAGTTATAAAGAAAATTAGTAATGTAATTTAAATAGAAATTATTGAATATGAAAAAAATATGAATAAATTGTTTGAAGAACATTACAAAATTCTAATTCTAAAACAGAACCAGAAAATATAAGGAATTATATACAAAAAAATAGAATTTATTAATGAATAAAACATTGAAATTTAGTAAACTGAAATCCAATTAGTAAAAAATTTCAAATTTATAAACAATGTAATTACTAAAATTATGAACAAAACATTGAAGGACAGGAAAATCCAATTTTTAAAATGTTTAAAGCAGAAACTACATGAAATTATGTAAAAAAGAGAATTAATTAATGAAAAAACGTTGAAATTAAGTTTTTTTTTAGATTATCTAATTAGAAATTATTTATTTAACAAAAAGTATGCAGAAATTATATAAAAAATAAAAGAAAATGATCAATTTTTTAAAAGTAAACATTGAGATTTTCATAAATTAACTGAAATTAATTCAATGATATTGAATATTGAATATATCTACAAGTTTTTTCTATCATCAAAGATAATCAATGTTAGATACAATAAATTATCTATAAAGTGGTTATTGGAATTGTTGCGAAAAAATAATGTAATTAAAGGAAATGCGCAAACGGAAATAATTAAATTTCAATTATAATAAATTGCAAGTTAATTATTTCGCGTAACATTTGAAAATTTATTCTAGCGCTTCGAACTTTCCCATTTTCAATACCATTAGCAAACGAGAAATTTATTGTTTCATTTTTTTTGTAGCATTCATCAGTGTTATTTCACTGCTTGCGCCAAAAGAAGCTTAAATAATAATCGTGGAACGTAAATGATCCATCTCGAAATATGCAATTTGCTCAAATCAACGTTATTATCCCATCAAAGCAAAAAGGAACTGCAGCATTCCAGCAGCATACAATAACGAGTTGCTGCAGCGGACGAACTCATTTTCTTTCGGGTAGAGAATTTACTCGGAATTTCTGATGAAAAGACATTCCCAAAAAAAAAACGAAAGAAAAAAGCAACAGCAAAGTCATTTCATCACGTTCGCAAGTTTCTTTTTATTAACAACAAACAAACAAAAAAAACAGCAGAGAAAGTAAATAGAATGTTTTACATGAATTTTAGTTTTATATAAGTAGACATAAGGAACGCTTTATTAATGTAGAGTACAAATAATAGCGTAAAAATGAGTGGAATTGACCTTATTTTGAGTTGATATTACACAAAAAAAAATAATCTGCACATCCTGTTTGGAAATTTATTTATTGATGCAATCCCAATCCTTGCGCTCTCTCGTATTTAGATCGATGCAATTGGACTTGAGGTCATCACGCATTATTTAATTCCATTTCCAATTGACACCAAGAACACAAAATATTTTACAATTTCTAAATTTATTAAATACTTATAATAATAATTCACATATTTCTTAACCTTATACTAAAACAATTTACTACTAATTATCATTAATGTAATAAATATTACAAATAATTATAGGTAAATTAATTAATTAACTTATTTCTCATTATTTGATGCAATTAATATTGCAATAAGGCAGTCTATTTGAAATTTGCAAAAGATTAAAGCAAAATATTTTTATAATAATCAATGATGATTGAAAAGTTGAAGCGATTCGCCAACATTTTCTAAATTCTCAAGCAAAATTTATTAATGGTAAATGATGTGAAAGTGCAATTACGTAAAAATGATTTTACGTTGAAGATAATGCGCGAAGAGAAAGACGAATGGTTTTTTGTAAAAACTGATCATGAAAATCACCGTCGGAATTTCAATTAAATTCAATTAAACAAACCTTAACCCAGATTCATTCGCGTTTTATCAGCGCGTTGATGTGTTTGTAGATTAATTGGAGCAATGGAATTCATCAAGTATCTTATTTAATTTTTATATTATGTTTTTTTTCTTGCGAGGAATTAACTGAAGTCCCATTCAATTAGTGTTAAGTGCGTGTGGTAAATCAATTCTTTCCGATGAGGACGTGGAGAAGCCTGAGCCATTCCGGTTTATTTGCGGCCAATCTCCGTTCCGCCAATTGCTTCTTCCGTTCCAACCAAGCGGCGCGGTATTCCGGGTTTTTCGGACCCCATTTCTCGTGCGACAGGGATTGTCTCAAAGCCTTGAATTGTATATTAGTTGTTATTGGAATATATTCATAGAAAATTTGCAAAACTAACGTTCTTGAATCCGATTTTCCTCTTGTGGATTAGATAGTACGACCACCAAATGATGATTTGGAGAAGGCCGACTCCAAGTATTACCCAACCGAAAGCTGCGTGCAGAATAAAAATATCATTTTTTTTAGCTTATAGTTGTTTGTAATGATTACCTAAAACGTGATCGGGAAAATCTAATCCTTCGTGCTGCAACCGCTCTAAGGTGGCCACGAAATAGATGAAGATCACGACGAGAACCACGGGTGTTATAACACCCCAGGAGATGCGCCAGTACAAACCGACTTTACGCTTCAGCATGAACTCGATGTCGTCGCAGAAATTTTCCAAACCTTGTAACAATCATCATTTTAAAGTTATCGCTTCAATTTGCTTCGTAAAATACTCACCGTACCACCAGAAGACGCAAATAACTTCCATGGTGGTGAGGATGAAGAAGATGAAGGTTCCTCCAAAGTAATCCAATAAAGTCACGATGAATTGTCCACCCTGCAACATAAATTATAATATTACACTCTCCAATTGATATTTTTTTAATTCAATCATACTGGAGTAACGAAAACTAATCCAATTATGAATCCGACGATGCCGCAACCTAAAGAGACGTGCCATTTCTTCAGATGAGGCCAATTATCCATGATGATGGTAAAAGCGCTTCCTTGGAGCGCTATCAAACTGCCCACGCCTAAGATGAAAAGCATCATGAAGAAGAGGATCGCGAAGAGCTGTAAATGAATTGAAATAATTTCCCTTTTTCCGCTAGATTGAATTAATTAATACCCATGGGACGGAATCGAATTTGGCGATGGCCTCCGGGTAGGAAATGAAGGCGAGGCCGGTTCCGCCGGCGTTGACCACGTCCTTGACATGCATATTCTGTCTTTGGGCCAGGTTTCCCAAGATCCCGAAGATCGTCGTTCCTGCCAGTATCGAAGTGAACGTATCCATAAACGATACGACGATCGCATCCCTTGTCACAACAAAGTAAAAATCCAATACAATTATTATAATTTATTATGGTTACCTGTAGATGTTGTGATTAAAGTCGTTGTAGGAGGAATACATTACAACAGTTCCAAATCCTATGTTTAGCGAGAAGAAGCACTGCGTAACCGCTGAATACCAAACCTGCAAATTACATTGTTACCATTGTTATTTAAATATAAAAATACATTTGGTTCTTCCAATAATTATTCATAGTTTTTCCACACGACATTAACATTTTCCTTTCACCTTAAGCAATCACGACTTTGGATTTTCACCTTTTTTTTAATAATTATCTTTCAACGTATTTTATTTTTATTTTCATCAGATACAGAAATAATAACTATTATTTATTATTTAATATTATCTAATTTCATAATCTATTCCAGTTTATAATTTATTACATTAATCTAATTTTCTTAGAGATAATTTGAGATAAAAATAAAGTATTGGAAACATTACTCAATTTAGAAAACTATGCAAATTTATCTTAATATAAATATTTTCATTAATAGATCAAGAATGTTGGTGTCATGATTATGTTGAAATCGTTTTGGAAATGAATTTTGTAATATAAAGTATATTCTTCGGATAATTTGAGATAAAAATAAAGTATTGGAAACATTAGTCATTTTAGAAAACTATGCAACTTTATCTTAATATAAAGATTTACACTAATAGATCAAGAATGTTGGTGTCATGATTATGTTGAAATCGTTTTGGAAATGAATTTTGTAATATAAAGTATATTCTTGGGATTTTTCACCGTTTTTTTTTTAATAATTATCTTTCAACGTATTTTATTTTTATCAGATATAGAAATTATAACTATTATTTATTATTTAATGGAAACTTTAATATTATCTAATTTCCTAATCTATTCCAGTTTATAATTTAATACATTAATCTAATTTTCTTAGAGATAATTTCAGATAAAAATAAAGTATTGGAAACATTACTCAATTTAGAAAAATATGCAAATTTATCTTAATATAAAGATTTACACTAATAGATCAAGAATGACACCAGATTATGTTGAAATCGTTTCGGAAATGAATTTTGTAATATTT